AGTTGACTTCCAATGCTACTCCCTAGGAGAAATTCCCTAGCTGTGAGAGTTCCTTGCTTAAATAAAGCAGGGGTGCTTTCTCAAGGAAGTCAAGGATCATTTCACTATCTAATCTCTGCTAGTGCAATTGGACAAGGAAAGGAGTCTTTGGGGCCTGTAGCAGTTAACAATAATCTAGGTTATGCTGCTATAATGAACAACAGTCAAATCTTAGTGGCTTTAAACCAAAATGTTGATTTCTTGCTTATGTTACTTGGCCCTTGTGGGTTGGCAGGAGGACTTTGACATAATAGAGTCCCCATACCAGTGACCCTCATTCCAAAGAGGAAGAGTTCTGAAGCATCTTGCATCAATAATTCACTATTCCAGCCAGGAAGAGACCCACATCACTTCTGCTCATTGGCTAGAACTAGTCACATGGTTCTGTCCAAAGAGACCAGGAATTACAATCTACCTTGTGTTTGAAAGGAAGGGGAACTGGAAATATTTAGAGAACAGTACTAATGATGTCCACAGACCCAATTGTAATGATTAACATTCACAGGCTAGTATTTGACCCAGACTTACTTGAGGCAATTGCAGTCAGCATTTCTAAACCTCTTTGTATTTCAATCAAAAGAAATCACTTTCAACATTTTGCTTCTAATTACTCTGTATCCCTCTCAAATTGTTCCTGCTTCAAGGTGAAATCAGTGAAATGTTTTGAGAGCCCTGGTGCAGAGTTTCAGGCCTGTCACAGCTTCTTTGCTAACATCTTCACCTTGGCACTTGAGTTCTCCTTGAGTGTCCTCCCCACCCCCTTCACCAGCCTCAACCTCACTCTGCCTACCTCATCACCCTGGGAGCTGCTTGCATGCATCACTGTTTTGGTGGATGGCAGCAATACACAAGGGCACCTCATTGTTGGAAAGGAACTGCCTTCCGCCTGCCAAGGACAAATGCAGACATACAAAGCAATATCAAGCAAGACTTCACATCAAAGGGAACCCTGCCCGGGCTTGCCAAGAGCAGGCTGCCTCTGTGTCTTTCTCTTCAGCCTTGTCAGTATTCTTAGGGCCCAACACGCCTATGGTGTCCCTGCCAGGCCGCCTCATTCAACCAGCACTCCTGTTCACTCTGACACCAAAAGCTCAGGGCTCTCCCTGAATCTGGGCTCGACCACTTGAACAGAGCACAATGCCAAGTGTTTAAAAATGTTGCGTGATTAGGAAGGAAAAGCACTGAGAAATATTTACTCTGTGAACCCTATATGAGTAGGAGAACAGAGTGCTTTACCTTGTTCAGTGAAGCAACACATAGAAAGTTAAGAAATTCCTGCCTAAGACCTAGGAAAGATTACCTAATGAGGAAGGAAGAATGCTCTATAAGCAGAGGTCTGGGAACATTGGAACCAAACTGAAATTGACACTGGCTGGCCTGGGCATTCAGACTTGACTGGAGAAGTCGTGTGACAAACAGAAGATCCAGAGAAACTTTAAGTTCTACTTTAGAACCAACAGAAGAATTCAGGTTCTGTTGCTTTAAGGAAAAGAACATGTTTGTTTTACAAAGAGTATGAGGGAAAAATGGAAAAGAGGGACTGGCAGGGACAAAGAAGGGGATTGAAACTTTATTTTAGAAAACAGGTAAGCCTATCTGTTCTGGATGCTAAAGGGATGCTAAAGAACTCTTCTAGAAGGATACACTCATCATCAAAATACAATGGAAGTCAAAAAGTTTTAAAGTCAAATATTGTGAGAGCTTGAAAAGGGAGATGGTCTTTTCCAAAATTTTTTTTTTTGAGTTATGAAAATCTAAGGCTCAGGAGTGTCAAGGGGCCTTTTCACAGTCACACAGCTGCTTAGTGACAAAGCTGTAGCTAGAACTCTGAGTTTCTGACTCTCAGGCATAGGTTGTTAAATCACAGCGTGGTGTAATGGTGCTACGTGTGACACGTGATCAGAGAGCACAGGTCTGCAACTTCATCAAGTAAGGTATTTTTAACATGGTGACTTCAACCCTTTGACTAAGCTCTTCCACTGTAGCCAACCCTACTGCACTGTTCCAACAGCTTCCCAGAATGGTAGTAATTAGAGCAAAGAAAAAAAATAGGGCCCAGAGAAAATGTAACATTTCTTAGTAGTGGGAGGAGGTGGAGATAAATGCATTTACATAACTTTCTACTTTCAGAACACTTCATGTGACCACAGGTTATTAACCTAGGGTCCATGGAGAGAACTCAGGCATTCCAGGACAGGAAAAAAAAATTACATCTTTTACTGAACTCTCACTGAAATGCGTCATTACCTTCATTATGAAGGTAGGCAAAAAACCACAACAGTATTTGCAGTCCTTGGACTTTGTCACTAATAGAAATAAACAGTTTCACATTATATTAGCTGTTGCAGGCATCTTGACATATCTTTACCTTTTTTATCACTTTGCTATGATGGTAGTTTTTAGATCTGCTGCTAGATTTTGTTAAATAATGTTTAATAAGCACCTATATTACTATACCACAGATTTTCATAAATGTTTTGATAATAATATTTCAATATAATTGGATTTTTTAATAATTCTATGTATGTATTTATTTTAAGCAGTTAAAGGCATTATTCTGAGAAGGGATCTGTAGACTTCACCTGTCAGAGGGATCCTTGGCATGAAAGTTAGGAACTCTGACATGTGAGGGGTCAACGAGTGTCAGGTTGCCAATGGATACCCATGTTACTAGGTCCCCTGTCCCAGCACCATCATCCTGTGGGCTCAGAATGACAGGGATGCTTGCTTGTCATTCTGGGTTGGAGAGCTGCCAATATCTCTTGCTACAGACTGTGTTTGTAATTCCAGGGTGTGCCAGCCTTTGAAAGCTGACATGATTATATTGCAAAACGTGACAGAAAAGAATCCATTGTTTGGCGTTATTATTAAAATTAAGGCTGATATGGAGTTGGTAATATTTCTATTAAGAGGGCTGTGTTCACATGTCCATGGAAGTTGACTTTTCTGCGGGAACTGGCACTTTAAAGTCTAGTCAAAAGGAAGTCAATGTTTTCAAAGATGACAAAAACTGATTTGGCCTGGTCAATACATGTTCAGACTACTATTAAGTAAGAAAAATAAACATTTTAAATATTAAGGCACCATTTCCACCTCCCAAATAGGCCAAGAGTTTTAGAGATGGCAATTCCCAGGATCGATAGGGTGTAATAAAATAGATATTTTGCTAAACTACTCACAAGACCAAGGCTTGACATAACTTTTCTAGATGACAGATTGGGCTTTATGTTTTAAGTGAGTGTTTTTCACCCAGTCATTTCACTTCTAGGAACTGATTCTGCAGGCAGAATTACAAAGATATTCTTCAAAATGTTATTCATAACAGTAAAAAAGTTGGAAACAGCATGAATGCCAACAACGAGAGCTTGGTCAAATTATGCTACATCTGTAGGATGAATTATTACGTAGCTAATTTTAAAAATAGCCATTCTGACAATAAGTAATGATATGAGGAAATGTATAACAATAATGTAGACTTAAAATGCAACACATAAAACTGCAAGTATAAAATAATTCTGTTTTTTAGTTTTAAAATATTCTTCGTATTTCTTTGCAATCTTACTTATGTACATATACCTATAGAATATGTATGTGTAAAAAACTAGAAGGAAATATATCACAGTGTTAGGGTAGTGGCATTTTAATTATTGGGTAGAGGCATTTTAATTATTTTTATTTACTTCTTTATGTTTTTGGAACTACTGACGTTAGGAAAAGCACTAAGACACTGTTTTTAAGAAGATGAGCTGGTGCCACATGGGCTGATGTGTTTGCTGTGCCTTCTTGTTGCTCCAGACAAAAGTTTGTTTTGCTGGTTGCTACTGAGTGTTATTTTTCTTGTAACCTTTGCTCTCTTTCCCCACCATTGGCTTCCAGATGTCTGATTTCACCAAGTTCAGGGCACTTGACGCATGTGCATTTTCCCCTCTAACTTGAACAGGAAATTCAGAAACTGCCTTAAGCCTGCCAGCCTGATAGAGCCAGCACCATCGTGAATATCAACCCCAAACCTCTTGACCTAATAAAAAATAGCTTGATGGGGGAATCTGAAGCTTTCGTAAAAACTGGTGACGGAGTTTGAGATAGGAAAAGAATTTTAGAAGGCATCTGCCTCTCTTTCCTCTTGGTCAATGATGGCTTCTGCCTAGTTGTGCTTTCTGCATGTTGTGGGCGAAGAACGGAGCTAAAAAGTAATTATTCTAGAGCAACTTAACCTTTTGCTGATATTTGGTAGAAAGTGATGAACTTTCAACTTTCAGTCATTATTTAGCATGTAATGTATAAATTAGCTGGAAAAAAGTCTGTTTGACTAGATGAAGACATATTTTCTATGGATTTTACCTTGAAAGTGAGAAATACAAAGATAATTTTCTGTTTGGGAATGTTTGTTTTAGGATTCCATTATTTGCAGTGCCATTTAGAATTTTGGAAACATTAGAGTCTATATTCCATTCCTCCTCTCTTTCTTAAACTTGGATCAATTTTCTCCTGGGTGAAGTTTAAAATAATAAAAACTGGGAAACCATTTACTCAATGCCTCCTGTTGCATAGCAATCTAAACAAACAGGCCCCTTTCCTCTGTTAAGAACTTCCAATAAGACAAATCACAAAGCTTGTGTTTAAAAAAATCATTTCCAAGTTCCCCACCCCCAACCCCATTTTAAAGCTCCCTTTAAAAAAAAATAGAGGCAAAAGATTGTAAGCAAGAAACTGAATTGACTTTTTAGTGAGTCACTTCTCATGCTACTACAGGGATTAGAAAACTCTTTTGTTTGTGGTGAGGCCAGAGGATCTGAGCTGGACACATAAAATACCAACCCAGCCAAAGCAGGACAAATAATAAGAAATAATAGTAACCGTCAGGTGATCAGTATCTTCTGTGTAGCAGACACAGTGCCATATAAGTTATCTAATCTTATAACAAACTTCCTGTGTTGGATATCTTACATTTGCACCCCCAGGTCCTCTCTCTACTCTTCTGCATCCTGTTCTCTGCCCAGGGAGGATGACCTATTTAGACAGCAGCAAAGGGCTTGCTTACCCAAGGGTACTGGCAGGAGAGAGGAAGGAGGAGGTAAGATCAGAGTATGTTCCTGGCCCCTTCTCTGCTGGTTCCGGCAGGTTGGCTGTGTCCCTCCACCTAGAGATACAACTCCTGCCAGGCAGTCTTTTCCATTCCACTCCCCTCCCTGGCTTCCAAGAATGGCTCCTCAATGCTTCATTCAGGTCTAGTGGTGGGAAGAGCTCCCTGTGGTTGCCAGTTCCATATCAAAGTGAACTCTTAGGCAATGTCTTCTCATGCAATTTATTGGGAAATCAATCAGAGATTGACCTTTGCTAGACAACCTCTAGTGTCTTGTAAACGTTATTTAAATTTTAAATTATTTGTCTTTTCAAAATCATGGGCTTTGGCACTAAGTAGTTTTGGCCTTGACTGTAAGCGTTGTCAACACTGAACACCTGGATAAAGTATTAACCTAGCAGAGACTCAATTTACTAAAAATTAAAGAGTAACAGTAATATCTACTTTACATGGTATCATGAGAATTCAGTGAACATATATAAAATTTTATTACAAGGTACAGCACATAAATATAATTTTATTCCTCTTTTTTCCCTCTTTTTTTCCTCCAACTAGGGGCCAAATTTAGCTAACATTTACTGAGTGATTATTATGTGTCATGTACTAGTTTAAGCATCTTATACATATTAATTTATTTACATCAGTTCTGTATACTATTGTTCTCTCTTTTACAGATGGAGAAATCAAGGCGCAAAGAGGTTAAGAAGCTTGCCCAGGGTTTGCCGGGACATAGATGGGAGTACTAATTCACAACTAGATGGTAAACTTTTCTAGGCAAAACCAACTGTATACTAAATTTCTTTCTTTCTTTCACAGGGCCTAGCATGATGTCATCCATACGTAGGTGTTCAATAAGTGCTGATTTTATTCCAGGAGCAGAGGCAATTAAGCTAGGGTTGCAATAGTTAGGGAGCCAGGAGGTCCACATGGTCAAAATAGCAGCTGCTTTCACCAAGGGCAGTAATGTGTGCCTCTCGAATGTGGATGCAAGGTCCTGGTAACTGAGGGATGGGCTGCTGTTGGAAGATAGAGCAGAGAGCAGCCAGCTATCTTGGGGAGGGGTGAGGATGGAAAGAGAACTTGAGCTGGGAGGCCAGCAATGGTGGAAAGCTCCCCAAGTGAAGCTTGAGCTCCTCTCTCAGCAGTCCTCCTGACCTTGAGGAGACAGTAAATCTCACTCCATCCTGTGGTTATACCACTGAAGCATCTTTAAAAATACTTAGTCCCAAACGATGGGCCCTTTCCTGCTGCTTTTCTTACCTGAGCCAGCAACCTCAGAGCTTTCTGGGATTTCTGTTAAAAACACCAAGATCCTTCTCTACCAACACAACTGTCGCTCACGCCAAGCATGGGACATATGGCCGAGCATCTGGGAGGGAGAAGATGGGCCAGGAGTGCTGGCAAGCGGCACATGCTTTCATTATAATGGATGTGTCACAGTAAATCATTTTGTAAATGTCCCCCTCCCCTCTGTGCTGCATAGCAAAACATAAAGGAAGACGAATTACCCACAGCTCCACAATGCTGGTTGAATATGCCAAAGCTTGTGCCTGAGACACTTACTGACATTTCCTTAAATATCTTTTTAATATCTTGGCCAGGTCGGGCATACCAATGGCATTACAGAGCTTGCAAATCAATACCCCAGCTGTTTTGGTTTTTTAATAAAACTGAATGTGATCTATTTTAAACGATTGCCTTCCGCCCCTCTAATTTTCTACAGGGCTTTCAGAGAGCAAGACTGTGGGCAGCCCTGAAGTCAGGACTTGGCTCTGAAAGGGTAGTTGTTCCTTTTGGGGGTAGGGATAGAAATTAAACATTTGCTGGATTACTGTCGTCATTTTTTCCTAGTCCTCTAGTCTCCCAAATCTAGTGATCTACATGATTTATAGGACCAATTTGTGGTTTGCTGCTGTGTTTAAAAAATGAGTTTACCAAAATGTTGCGGAAGAATCTAAAGGGTTTAGCTTCTACAAATCAAATTGATTTCTCCATTTGGGATCAGTCCAAGTGATTTATTCATAATTTTATTAGAGATCTTTTCCTAAGGAAATTCTTTGTCTCTCATTATCACCATAAAGAAAATGAAAAGAACTTCTACCAAGAATTCAGTCGTATGCATGTGACTTTTGCCCCTTGGAAAACTGGAATATGTAAAACTGTCATCAACAGTAACCATCTTGGTTACTGGACATCCACAGCCCTCAATAACAACAAGAATTCCTCATGCAAATAGGGAGGTGGTCCTGTCACATTTGGGGTCCCAGTAGGCAGAAAAGCCCAATCAAAATACCTATAAATCAGAGTTTTATAAAGATATTAGTTGACTGCTACTTATGTGGGTCATAAATGTGACACCACAATAAACAATCAAGTTTCTTTGAGGATGTATTTGAGGACTCTTTTATTGGCTTTGAGAAATCACAGTACTTCCATCAGGAAAGTCTCATCTGCTTGTGCAGTTTATTGCTTTTATTTTCTGTAGTTTATACTAAGTGTCTAAGCTTTTTTCCTTCCAGTATTTTTCCTGGGCTACATTAGTGCAAGTCCATGTTTTCCCTGGGCCAGCAGGACCACAAACCAGATTAAAACAAAAAGGGAGCTGGAGCCTCGGCTGGGCCCCTGGAGAGGCCTCCTCCCTCTGCCTTCCCCACCCCTGACCTCTCACAAACCAGCTTTGAAGCAACTGAAATTTCTCTCTTTCTTTCTTTCTTTTTTTTTTTCCTGACCACAGGCAAAATCCTGTCTCCCTGGTTCTCTGAAAGTTATCCATTCCTGAATTTTACCCTTAACCACAGCGGAGGAAAGGGAATAGCTGAGGTCAGGAAATATGGAAAGAATGTTAACAATTTACCACTAAAATATACATTAAGATTATTTTCAGCAAGTGTAATCCCCACATTGAACTTCTAAATCTAGAATTCTCCTGTCATGTGACTATATTCACATTTATGTGTGCCCCTTTCAGCCTCAATTCATCCCTTCCTGAATGAGCTCTCTGTGAAAGGTAGGACTGAGTGAAAATAGCCAAGTGAAATCTCCAAGTTTCCCTCCCTAGTCAACACTGATTACAAATGTTGAAGTGGTTAGATGAAAGCAGTTGTCTTTTACGTGAGCTAGCGCACAAATATCATCAGAGATTTTAAGAGGCATAAAAATAGAAGTAAAAATAGACACACAGGTCATACTTTCAATCAGACAGCTAGTTCTGTTATAGAAATCCAAAATCATAAATGTTTAGATGCTGTTTAGAACAAAAGGAATGAACCAGGGATATCTCATCTCGGGTACTTTTAAGATCGTCACAGAATGTTAGCATTAGAAAGAAACAAAGAGAATCTTTCATTCAACTTCTTCGTTTTATATAGGACACAATTAACAATAATTACTATTGCCAGTGTATATGTATTTTTCTATTTAATTATTACAACAACCCTAGAATGTGTCACTTCCATTTTGTGGAGAAGGAAAAGAGAGGTGAAGGAACCCACCCAAGGTGAAGAGGTAGAGGTAGGATTCAAACTTGCGCATTTTGGTTCCCATTCAAACATCAAATTAGAGGCCCTCCAAGGACTTGAACTCATTTCTCTCAGAAACCAAGCAGTCTTTGTCCTACTGGGGCAAGTAGATGGCTGCTAACTGCCTGGCTTTATCCACCCCTGCTTTGCACCACGTCTCACCCTCACGCTGGCCTCAGGTTGGTTTGGAGTGGCTGTCATGGTCTAAGATGGATCTGCCTTTCCCCAAGGGCTGGGGCCAGTGCCTCCCCAGACACGCATGCTGCGCTGCATCTGTCGCTAATGGGATTTCCAGATTTCTGCCTCTTCATGAGTCCCCATTTGGCAGCCTTGCATATCTGTGAATCTAATGTCTGTGTGTAGTCGTGCTCCTCAGCTGTTCCAGTTTGGCAAATAAGTGATGACGGCTGTGGCCAGGTTAAATCTGAGGGCAGAATTACTGTGAGTTTAGTTTTCTGAGTCTATCTTTGCAGGGACTGAAGCTACCTTGAGAATGTGATGTGTGATGTAATCATGATGGCCCTGGACATGTCCTAGACTCATCTTCTTCAGTTACTAAGCACTTCATGTATTGTTTCTTTGTAGGTGAACTTTGCTTAAGGGGTGTAGTCCCTCTTTTTCCCTTTTTTTCTTAAGTGACATAGTTGTTTTTTTTTTTTTTTTAAGTGACAGTACCTGGGAGGTCACTGTCTTGTTTAATTTTGTCTCTCTTATATATTACCTAGCTTACGGCATTAAACTTTGAAAATCAACAAATGATTATTACATATAAGAAGAAATAGGCCGGGCATGGTGGCTCACGCCTGTAATCCCAGCACTTTCAGAAGCTGAGGTGGGTGGATCACTTGAGGTCAGGAGTTTAAGACCAGCCTGACCAACATGGCAAAACTCCATCTCTATTTCAAAAATACAGAAATTAGGTGGGTGTGGTGGTGCATGCCTGTAGTCCCAGCTACTCGGGAGGCTGAGGCAAGAGAATCACTTGAACCTAGGAGGCAGAGGTTGCTGTGAGCTGAAATCATGCCACCGTACTCCAGCCTGGGCAACAAAGCAAGACTCTGTCTCCAAAAAAAAAAAAACAAGGAAGATTGTAGTGAAGTCCTCTGACCCTCTGTGTAGTAGACATTTGTTATTTCATGGCTACTCACAATCCCAGTAAGCCCTGCTTCCTGTTAGAGCATGGTCTCCTCTCATGGCGAGAGCTCTTAGCAGTCAAAAAATCGAAGTACACTACCCATTTCCCACTTCAAAAGCTGAAGGGAAAAGTTTGTTTCATATGGTTGTTATGAGTATATTTGATCAGTTAATTTAGAAATAACAGATAAAACATGTGGCAACTGCTAGTATTAGCTCTTCTACTTGTTCTTCTTCTTCATCCTGTTCTTGTTTGCCTTCTCATTTTTGTTGTTATTAGTAGTAGTATTATCCTCTGCACAGCCAGGACAAGGGTACTTGACCTAAACTTTGCCACTCAGATTCCTTGGAATATTGAATGTTGTATGGTTGACACAAGGACAGAAGATACAGTTAGTTTTTTTAATTGTGAAATATAACACAAAAATGCAAAAGCGACATGAAAGATTTGCAAATAACCAAAAGCAAATGCCTATGTAGCAGCATTGTCCAGTTTATGAATCCACCAAAGTCTTCTATATGCTCTTCAACAGTCAAAACCATCTTCTTCCCTCAGGGACAGCTTCAAGGGTTTTGGACCCTGCAATCATACAGGGCTCCGTGCTCAGAAGGGTCCCGTGCTTGGTTTAACATCTGCAGTTGCCTTCTTGAAATTTTTTATAATTTTTGAGCAAGTGGCCCTGCATTTTAAGTTTGTTCTGAGTCCCACAAATTATACAGCTAATTCTGCCTTCACTCTTAAGGTGACCATTATCCTGACTGTTGTGAGGATGATTTTCTTGCTTTTCTTTATAATTCTACCACCTGTATGCATCCGGAGCTCTTTCATCCTCAAGGTATGTTCCGACATGCTATTCCTGCTTAAAGTCAGTCAGTTCTATGATTCCTGCTTCATAGACCACAGATGTTCCAGTGACTGACTCTTTCAATATTCTCCTTTGCTTAGATTTGCCAGTGTTGATTTCTGTTGCTTGCAACCAAAGGAACATAACTGGCATCGTCGTTTTTCTAAAAGACTTTTGATAGAGAAAAAGATAGCGTGTAATAATTGTCTTTGTTTTATTCCTTTCTGCACAAAGTCTTATGAAAGTTCCACAGATGTAAGATTTATTTTAAAACTAACATTCTGACGAACTTATTTTCCAGCAGAAAAAGTTAAAACTTGAAGTTGTTAACGTAGTTACCTATATTTAGAAAAATGTTACCTTCGGCACAAGCCATGAAGCCCAAAATGCCTGCCAATGACAATTTGTTTTCTTCTCAGAAAAGTTGCCAGAGGTTGTTAGTGGATCACCACAGGTTGCTAGTGGATCACCACAGGTTGCTGGTGGAGAACTCTTCCCCATGACATGTGGTTGAGATGGGATCCCCAAATTGCTAGCTACACATGTATCCTTAGCCTCCTGGCCTCAGTGATTAGAGCAGGGATAGGTGAATAACCCAAACAAAACCAATAACGATTCTCCCGAGGAGTTTTCTGCCTTGAGCTATCAGGGAAGATGATTTCAGGTCTTTGGGTTGGGGCTCAGGGTGTCAAGGTATGGGAAAACCCTCCTACAGCAATAGAGACAGTAGAGACTAAAACCAAACAGCGCACACACACATAGTGGTAAGCAGAAGCCATGAGGCAGTAAAAGCTATGAGGTGTCAAGGGAGTTAGTAGTTGAGATGTTGGCACAAAAGCAGAGGCAGAGAAATGCTGGCTGCCAGACTTCTCTTGAGTCGCTGGGGTTACTGTGATGCCTTTAGAGATATTTCAGTGCTCTATGAAGCTTGGCTTGGCCAGTGTTAAGATGGCTTCCTCTGCTTCCTTACTTCCCTGCACATCCTAAAATAAACTTCCTACATCTATCTCAGCCCTGATCATCAGAATTGGTGTCTATAACGAAATATATGTACAAACCTTGGCACTGGTTAACTGGACTTGAGACCTAAAATGAACCCTTCTCCATGCTTAGTCAACCATTGTTCTTTCTAAGAGTGGAGCTCATTTATGCTCAGTCCCTACAACTCAGGGGTAAGTGAAACAGCTGAAAACCAGAAACATCAAATGATAATCCAATGAAGAGGACCTAGAAATAATTACCTGCTACACTGGAATGCTGACCTGGTGATTCTGGAATTCTTTTTTCTCCATTTCTACTCTCTCCATTATATTTTAGGCTTCCAGAAAGCTTCCTGTGGATTGAAGTGGGCCTCCCTGCTTGCAATATTGCTCCTTTTAAGTCCATTCTCCACAGAGCAGTCAAAGCAATCGTGATCAAATTAATAACAAAGTGACTACCTATTGCTCTCAGGATGTGGCCCAAAAATGTTAGTTCACATGTTAGGTTGTTTATGATTTGGCTCTTGTTTACATTCCCAGCCATATTCTTCCCACCTCTCCTCACCTCTATACCATCCCTTACATTCTCTGCTCTAAACTTGAACTCACTCTTTTGTCTACTTACCTTTTGCACACATTTTCTTCTGCCTTGAATGCCTTCTTTCACTCCTTCCCCTTTCCTTCTCCTACTCTTCTTTAAGGCCTTAGTTTAAATGTCCCTTCCTCCAGAAAATTTCCCCTGAATTCCAAAGACCAGGGTTCACAAACATGCGCTCTGTAGAGTTCTTTTTTAAAATGAAATTGCCCTTTAACTTGTCGGTCTTTAACTTGGCTGTAAGTTTCTTTAGGATGACTGGCACATAGTTGATGCACAAATGAATTTACAAGATTAGAGGAAACAACAGAATGTTTCTACTCTTGCAGCCAGAGTCCAGGGCTATGGTGTGGGTGAACAGAGATCAGAGAATTGGACTAGCAGTTGGGGCAAAATACGAGGCCAAGAATCCCACCCACTGATCTAACAAGAACACTAGGAACCATGAATTACTCAGGAATTGCCATCTTGATTAGTTTAGTTTAAGGCAAGTCCCCAAACCCATCCATCTCCTTTTCTTGCATATTTTAGCTGAAGGCAAATAACAGCTTTTCCCAAATGGTCAATACTTACATGTAAGACAACTTGTCTATTTCATAATTTCTCAAAACAAAAGCAAAATCAGTCCAACTAGGATGCCTGGTGAGCTGTAGTTAGAAGCTTGGCTTGGGAATCCATTGTTTTGAAATTGATTGGACTGGCAGTAGAACAAAGTACAAATGGTTAAGCAGATTCCTTAAATTCTGCTAAAACAAGAGGAAAGATAAGAAAACCAGGAATGTCACCTCCATCCTGGCCAACGTAGAAGAGGTAATAGGTGAATGACAGTATATTTTGAATCCATTACAGAATGTTGGTTTGTTTTCTTGTTTAATGGCTTTCTTTCTTTAGGAGAACCTGATACAAGCAAGCAGAACTCCGGAAGGCAACATCTTGAGAGCCCTGAAGTGACAATGGGATTCTGGGAAAGTCAATTCCCGGAGCCCAGTCTCTTTATCTGCAAAATGGAAATAATTATTACAATGGAGCCTCTCCTGCCTGCTGGGCGGCATCACAGGAGACAGTGTTTTGGAAAGTCCTCTGTATGTTCGAGGTAGCATTAACACCACCTCCCCCTGCCCCCAGCCAATAAGGGCCTACAAAAGAAACAGCCAGGGAAACTGAGTCGGTAAGCACTGGATTTGGGAGTTTGAGTATTTCCAAGCAGAAGTCATGAGGTCAAACTTTGTAATACTAATAAATAGGAAGAAGCACAGGAATCCCATTTCTTTGATCAATTTATTAACTTTTTAGTAAATTCTCTCTCATCAATTGTGCTATAATGATTTTGCATCCCAGATAGTTTTATACAATATCTTGTGTTTCATGCTCCTTGTTCATCAATATAATGCAGTTAGTTGGCAAAACAGTTACAGGAACTGAGGTTACCCTTTCTATTCAGCACAGAGTGGAGATATGGAAGGAACGTCCAGGAATATATTTCTGCCTGGGTTTCGAGTAAAGGTGGCCACTGGCACCAGTTAGGGCTGGAACTCTGGGTAATTATGGGGCATGCACACAGCTCCATCCCTTTACCATAGCAGACATCAGTGATCTACCACAGCACCTTTCCCCTTCTTAGACCTGGAGATGGCCTCAGAGCCCTTCCCAACACAGTGGTAACTGGATCAGATCACAGTGAAATGCATTCGTCACGCCATGTCTAGGCACTGATCAGAAGCCATGACTCTCATTATCAAACTGTTAAGCAGCTATTAGGTGATGCCCTAATGCCCTACTGAGAAAATTAAACCAGTAACTTACAGGTTTATGACTTATTCTTTCATTTTTTGAGCTCTTACTGGTTGCACTTAATTCAGACAAAGAAAACAGGGTAGCAGAGTTAAACCAAATGCTTGGGTTATAATTCCAAAGTTCTTTTCTCTTCTTCCAGCCACACAGGATATTTGATCCTTCTAATGCCTTTAACTGTTGGCTTCAAACAACTGTGAAGAAGAGAAGGAAATCTGACACTTTAGCTGGATGATGTTTATACAGATGCAGCTTCTTCCTTCACATATTTGGTTAGGAGGAGCTCAGTGAGCTGGAGGCTGAATCTCAGGAATGTTTAAATAAAGTGACATTGACACAGACCCTGAGCAACATTTGCAAACTCCATTCTAACCTCACTTAGAGTTGAGGTTCTTAATCTTTGTTGGACATGTATTCCTTTGGCAGACTGGTGAGGTTTATGCATCTCGCTCAGAATACTATCTTTATATAAAACAGTAAAAGAAAATCGGGTTATAAAAAGAAAATACACTGGGTATACTATATAATGCATTTGGGTATACTGAAATACAGTTATTAAAATATTTTTTTTAAATCTATGATAAAGATTTTTATATGTTCTTATTTATTAAATATTATACAAAAAGATCTAATGGCAAGTTAAGTAACTTCCATAATTTTGCAATAGCTATCAGGGCAAATATTTTGAGATATCTGGGGTAACTATAATGTTATATGAAATTATCTTGATTTCTATTGGTGACTAAGCCACAGGTACCAATAAGACTACTGTAGTTTGTTACCATATTTAACTGATAGAAACAGATACTACGCTTGATCTTAGCCAAAAGACCGAGAAGCAATGTTACCTTATTTAAAATAGAAAACTTGATAAATTTCAGAGAGAGGTTAGTGGAAATAGTGATTCCTCCCCCAATCCAACTAGTCTGTGAACCCTTTAGATTATGTCCAGGGATCCCAGTAATAAGCCTTGGACAAATTTGAATGTGGAGACTTGTGAGTGATCAGGTGTAACATTCCTACCACTAATTCTCCACTTAGAGAATTCCTGAGGTGGCTGGGCACAGTGTAATCCCAACACTTTGGGTGGCCGAGGCAGGTGGATTGCTTGAGCTCAGGAGTTCGAAACTGACCTAGGCAACATGGCGAAACCCCATCTCCACTAAAAAAAAAAAAAAAAAAAAAAAAAAATTAGCTGGGCATGGTGGCACCTGTAATCCCAGCTACTTGGGAGGCTGAGGCAGGAGAATCGCTTGAACCCGGGAGGCGGAGGTTGCAGGGAGCTGAGATCGTGCCACTGCACTCTAGCCTGAGAGATAGAGCGAGACTCTATCTCAAAAAAAAAAAAAAGAAAAAAAGGAAAGAATTCCTGAGGCAAAAGAAAAGGGTCTTATGTGGAGTGCTTTGTTTTGGTGTGAGACTGCCTTGCCCTTCTCTTCAAAAAGAGGATCTTCTTTACTACTAGAGCTTTTTCCTCAAGGGTAACATGGGGTTTAAATATATTCTCTGGTCTAGAAACTGAACGCCCCTGTGGATGTGAGGAAATAGGAGACTACCCAGGTTAAGCGACCTGACCCACATAAACAGTGGGAAAGGCCATCCACATTTTCTATCCCTGGCAAGTTGAAAAGTTAAGGTGGCCCCAAACTCTTGCTAGGTCTGACATGAACCAGAGGTTGAATCTGGGACATATGATCTGGGACTCTGTGGTCTAGTGGGGTTGAGCTCAGCTCTCACTAGCACCAGATAACCTTAGAAATTTTCTGCAGGCTTCAGTAGGGGAGACGCTAAAGAGCGAAATGACCCCTCAGCCCATCTGTTGTTGGTGGGAGCTGCTCTAACAGTGTATCATCTAAACATTTGTTGGTGCTAGATGTTCTGCTTTGTTATTGGCTTCGTACTAGATAACAAAATCACGGATGTGTGAGAGGCATGTGTGCTTGGAGGTGGAAGCTAGGTAAGAAGAGACATTTTAGGCTGGGTGTGGTGGCTTATGGCTGTAATCCCAGCACTTTGGGAGGCCTAGGCAGGTGGATCACCTGAGGTCAGGAGTTTGAGACCAGTCTGGCCAATATGGTGAAACCTCATCTCTACTCAAAATACAAAAATTAGCTGGGTATGGTAGCAGGCGCCTGTAATCTCAGCTACTTGGGAGGCTGAGGCAGGAGAATCACTTGAACCTGGGTGGAGGTTGCAGTGAGCTGAGATTGAGCCATTGCACGCCAGCCTGGGTGACAAGAGCAAAAATCCGTCTCAAAAAAAAAAAAAAAAAAAGAAGACACATTTTAGAAAATATTGCCATTGGGATAATGAGCTTCTTACATATTACAATTTAAATCCACATTGTAATTTAGCTTATATTCTCTATGAGAGAATTAAAGTTGATTCATTATTTATTTGATTACAATTTCACTTCTTTATTTACTCAGAGATGATCACAAAAGGGCTCCCTAGAGTTACTTAATGCTAGAAAAATAGCTCCTGAGAGTCAATCAAATTAACCATCCCTTCCTAACAATATAGAATCCAACTTACTTTTGTTCTCTTATTTGGCATTTTGCGTGATGACAGTTGCAGAATTTAACTTCTGGGCATTTTGGTTTCTCCCCAATTTAGGAGAATGCCCTAATGCAGAAACATGAGAAGAATGAACAAAACAAAGATGACTTTATAGGTCTCCTTTGAAGAGCTTTGCGTTTCTATTCAATTGCTTTCTCCCCGCCTAAAAAAAAAAATTACCTCAGTAATACATGCTCAGGTAAAAATATAAACAATATGGAAGCGAATTGAGCAGAAAGTGAAAGTCCTTCTTTGCCATCCTCCAATCCCACTTCCCTCCCCAGAAGTTAAGAATCTTCAGACTTTTTTCCTATGTGTTTATATATGTGCATGTATATAGATGCACAAAAATACATCACCGCAAGATGCACATATTTCTTTACATAAATGGGAACATATACACTGTATGTATTTTCCTATGACTTGCTTTTTTATTTACTAATATTTCTTGGATGTCTCTCTGTACATATAGAGCTATCTTTTTTTAAAAAACTACATATTATTCCATAATATATATGAATGTACTGGGTTTGTTTAAGCATTTTCCTACGGATAGACATTCAGGTTGTTTGCGGATTGGGTTTTCTGATTTGTTTGTTTTGTTGCTATTAGAAACAGTACTCCAAATTTATTCTACCTCCTTTAAGCTGATAAAAACCATCCCTAGATGTGGATTTTCTCTTTCTATTTCTGCAGGAATAAGAGTGCAGATGGGTAGAAAAGAGACAGAATGCAATCCCTTTTCTTCCTTCTGACCACCTTCTTCCCACCTCCCACCTCCCACCTCCTTCCTGTCCACAATATACAAAAAGAGAGCTCCCTCTACTGGGAATGCCATTCCCTTCCTCCCGCTCACCTGGGTAACTTCTTTCATCCTGCAAATTGCACCTCACTCTATCTCCCTGAGGTCTCCAGCTCACCACCCGGGAGGTCAAGGGCCTTCCTTCATGCTTCTTTGGCCCTCTCTGTATCCGACATCATATTAAAGTTACCCATCCAGACACCTGCCCCTGAGGGGAGGGAAGGAACTCACCATGTATCCTCAGCACCTAGCACCGGATCAGCTGTGGCAGGAGCCCTGGGGCATACCTGGTGACCTGAACTGAAGGACCTTCAAGTGAATAGATCTCCACATGTTGTGCACTTGGTTTAATTACCATTAAATCCATGTTGAAGCCAACAGCATTAAATGATGAATCACTTGGATAACATCGGAGCCTTGGACAAGGTGTGCAGACTAAGAATGGGATTTCAGAAACGTTAAAACAACACACATCACACCAGCATTCGCCAGTCCTTTCTGTGGCCTTCCCCACACTCATCACATTGGTAGGTATCACTCTGATATTGGCAGCAGGCCTTCGCCAACTGAGAAAGAGCAATACCTGTTCTACAGGTTCTATTTTTAATTTTTATTAACATTTTTACCTGTGCCCTGCTTGATCTCTCTCAGGCAGGCTGCTCTGATACAACCGGTTTAGTTATGTCCTTTCCCTGGTGCATTTCTGCCCAGAGGGAAGGCCAAATGCACAGAAGAGCCTGGAGACAGGTCCATCTGGAGTAGCCAGTGGATCAGACCACAGGGCTAATCCTGAAACTAGACTATCAGGTATCTTGGAGATCAGCTAGTCAGTACTGGAGAAAAGGGTGGCTTAGAAGGGATGGATCTCATTTTATGGAAAGCACAACAAACACTGGTCCCCCCTTGCCACCAGCTTGCTGCTCCCTAACTCAACCTGTAGAGAAATTCTGAAGAAAACTGGCAATCAGCCAAAACCTCCCACTCTGGCTTGTACAACTGAACTCTGATATCCACACAGCTGCCCCAACAGTGAAAGAGAAGGAAGAGGGATGAGGAGAGGAGGTGGTGGAAGGAGTGGTGTGGACCGGTTCTTCTTCCTACCCTTCATTCTACAGAGAAGCACACTGACACCCACAGAGGTGAAGGGTCTGAGCCCCTTACTGTTGAGTTGGCGGCAGCCCTCTGAGAATTCAGCTCTCCTCCATGCCAGTCTGCATGCTGTTCCTATGCCCTGCATGTTGAGTCGGTACAGTAGTTATCCACCACACTTCTCGTATTATCTATGGCTAGGTGAGGGATCTACTAGGCCTTAAATGCCTCCTCCACTTGATTTGCCAATATCCCATATGAAATGATGGTTTTATTCATTGGCTCTTTTATGCAAATATCCCTGGGAGAGGCAACATAGCCTTAAAGGATTCATTAAATCTTTTCTGCAAAGTGGATGAGCAAAGTGAGTTGGGGGCTAATAAGAGCTTGGGGATAGGGGTGTGTGTGTGTGTGTGTGTGTGTGTGTGTGTGTGTGTGTGTGTGTGATTTCCAATTTTCCAGAGGGACTACAGATGTCAAAGGGTCTGAGTTTACTTTTTGCATAGTAACAGGTTTGGTATCAGAGCCGTTTCTCTTAAGAGTGCTCATGGTCACTCTGACCACCAGGTGAGATGTAGACTCACCGTAGTTCATGACTGGTCTGGCTGCTGCTACAGCTGTAAACTCCCACTGACCTAGATTCTTCCTGGCAGCCCACAGGAAGATGAGTGTGCGATGCCTGGCAGATTAGCTCTTTCAGGTGGAAGACTGCCAGAGAGATGTGCCAGCACTCTCCTTGGCGGCAGAGGGTGGGAGAGCTTGCCTTGGAGTGAGGTGTATCCTCAGGCTCCTAAATCACCTGTGTGTGTCCATGCCTCCTCCTTCTCTCCTTGCGGTGGATTCCTTAGGTCTTTGCCAGCTCCAAAAGCAGGGGTGCCTTCAAACCCTGACAGCTGCACTGATCTGGTGGTTCTACCTTTAATAGCTATTTTAGGTTCCTTCTAAACCTTATCAAATCTCCACACTTCTACTTAGTTGGAGGAACCTAGAGTGAAAAACAGTGTATATACAGTAGCCCCCATTATCTGCAGGGGTATGCCTGAAACTGCAGATAGTACAGAACTTTATACAGACTGTATTTTTTTCCTATACATACCTATGATAAAGGTTAATTTATACACTAGGCAC